GACGGATGGATGGATGGACAGGGATGGGTGGATGGAGGGATGGATGGACAGAGGGAATGGACAATGGACAGATTGATGGACTGATGGATGGATGGATATATGGATGCATGAATGGATGCACAGGGATGGATGGATGGATGGATGGATGGATGGATGGATGGATGGATGGATGGATGGATGGATGGATGGACAGGGATGGGTGGATGGATGGATGGATGGATGGATGGATGGATGGATGGATGGATGGATGGATGGATGGGTGGATGGATGGGTGGATGGATGGGTGGGTGGAGGGATGGACAGACAGACGCACAGATGGATGTATGGACAAACAGACGGATGGATGCATAAGGATGGACAGATGGATGGAGGGATGGATGGACAGACAGACCAGACCAATGGACAGACAGACGGATGGATGATGATGAACAGACAAATGGATGCACAGACCGATGGATGACAAGGGAAGAGCTCAGCTTTGTTTGTTTTTCTCCTCCGACTCCAACCCAAACGGTGCCATTTTCGGAGTTTTGGGCGCTCTGGCCCTCGGTGTCGCAGGGAGGGCTCAGTCCTTGTGTCTCCCCTTGCCTTGTTGTGCTGGCCAGGCTCCTTTGTTTATACAGCCCCCGTTCGACCTTTCAAATTGCTGTTAATGTTTTAGCGTAACGAATTAGTCTCTCATCACGAATCAGGACTCGAAATAAAAAAAAAAAGGAGAGGGAAAAAAAAAAAAACCCTCCGAGGCCAACTTCCTGAAATTGGGGTCATTCTCATTTGCAAGGCAGAGAATCTGAGAACCTTAATGCAAGGAAATTTATTCAAAGGCAGAGCCCCGGCGTGATTAGGCCCTTTGTAATTATAGCTCGGAGAGATTCCACTCCAGCCTCCTGCCTCCCTCATGGATTAGCAAGTGAGTCGGAAAAATACACAGGATTTAATTAGAGGCAAATTAAAATTGGTAATGAAATAGGGGCAGTAGCAAATGGCAGGGAGTTGGAAGGGGAAAAGGGAGCTGGTATCTCTCGGGGCTGCGCTGTCTGCCTACGTGTGTGTCTCTTTATTTTACATTTAGAAATGTAAAGATGGTCGATGTAAAGAAGAAAGGGAGGGAAAGGACCAAAATGGGGAGGGGAGGGGTGGGGGAGAGAGAATAAAAGAAAGGGAAAGAGATGCTGGCTGTGCTGAGCACCACCAGAGCTGCAGGGCACAGCGTGGCTCTGTCCCTTGCTGGTGTCCCTTGTCCTGTCCCCACCTTCCCCGGCATCGGGCCAAGGTCATGCCCTGTGAGTGGTTTGGGGTTTTGACCGCTCAATGCCCTCAGTGGGGCGAGGGAGCGTTTGGGTGGCTTTGGGGGTGCTCAGGTGGCTTTGGGGGACACTCAGATGGCTTCAAGGAGCGCTCCGGTGGCTTTTGGGGACACTCAGGTGGCTTTGGGGAGTGCTCTGGTGGCTTTGGGGGACACTCAGGTGGCTTTGGGGAGCGCTCTGGTGGCTTCAAGAAGTGCTCTGGTGGCTTTGGGGGATGCCAGGTGGCTTCAAGGGATGCTCAGGTGGCTTTGGGGTGCACTCGGGTGTCTTTGGGGAGTGCTCAGGTGGCTTTGAGGAGCGCTTGGGTGTCTTTGGGGAGCACTCAGGCAGCTTTGGAGAGCACTGGGGTGGCTTGGGGGACACTCAGGTGGCTTCTAGGAGCACTCAGGTGGCATTTTCAGATGCTCAGATGGCTTCAAGGGATGCTCAGGTGGCTTTGAGGAGTGCTCAGGTGGCTTCGAGGAGCACTTAGGTGGCTTTGGAGGACATTCAGGTGGCTTTGAGGAGCGCTTGGGGGGCTTTGGGGAGCCAGGACACCCCCGGGAGCCATGGGTCTGGGAAGGGAGGAGGCTGGCGAGGAAGAGGAGGGTCTGACAGCAGGATGGGGTGTCCCTGACCCCAAACCCCGTGCCCTGTGTGCCCTCAGAACGCCGTCCGCCACAACCTGAGCCTGCACAAGTGCTTCGTGCGCGTGGAGAACGTCAAGGGAGCCGTGTGGACCGTGGACGAGCACGAGTACCAAAAGCGAAGGCCACCAAAGATGACAGGGTGGGTGCTGCTGTGGCACGGGACACGGCCCCGGAGGTGCCACTGCCC